AAAAAAAAAAGCAAAAAAATTAGGCAAAAAAAGGCAAAAAAAAAAAAAAATCCAAAGAAACAAACAAAACCCCCCAACCAAACAGGCAAACACAACCAAACAGGTTTGTTTGCTTGCCCTAACAAACCTCAGAAATAATCTGAGAAATGCCTTCATCTAAGTGCTGACTGGGGAGGGATGGAGGGGCAGACAGGCACAGAAAACACATGCTAAAAAGAGGGGGGAAAGGTTGAAGGGAAAGGATACATTTACACTAGCAGAGAAATTCAGGTTCCTGTCAGAAGCAAGCCCCGATGCTTAAGGCATTCACTTGTGCCCTCTGCCGTCTGTCCCGGCTTTACCTGCCTGTGCAGATGCTCATTCCAGGACATGGAATGATAGTTACAGCAGTAACTATCTCTGCAGCTCACAAAAACCCACATATTCCTCCTAACTATCTGCTACAACATCACCATATTCCTGAGTGGAGCTCTCCTTGCTGCCACCGTTTGATAACACTGCTCAATCAGATCTTACCGTGTCAAAGAGAGCAAGGCCAGCATTCTGGGGAAGGAGAAATCCCGCTTTTGGGGCGTGTAAATGCACATGGGACATGCTGGACAGCCAGCAGACATGATTTGTACCTGTGCTTCGGTCATCCGGACAGTTCATTCTTTGCAAAAGCCGAAGTGCCAACTTTACATGCAGGGCACAAAAATGGGTCATGCTCTCAAAAAAGGGTGCTGCTTTCTCCCTGCAGGAATATTGCTCAGAAGACCAATGGCACAGGAGGATGAACTGGCTGGTTTGCTTCTTCACAGAATCATAGAATAAGCTTATTTGGAAAGGACCCACCAGGATCATTGAAGTCCAGCTCCTGGCCCTGCACAGGACAGTGCCAAGAATCACACCACGTGCCTGAGAGCATTGTTGAAACACTTCTTGAGTTCTGTCAGGCCTGGTGCTGTGACCACTACCCTGGGGAGCCTGTTCCAGTGCCCAACCACCTCTGGATGAAGAACCTTTCCGTAATATCCAACCTAAACTTCCCTGACACAGCTTCATGCTGTTCCCTCAGGTCCTACTGATGGCCACTCTCCTCGTGAGAAAGTTGTAGACTCCTTTTTTTCTACATTTTCATAATAAACTGTAATTTTAGAAGCACTGAACTGTGCCTGATATGAAGGCATTGCACCACGGTGTTTCACAGAACCATGAAACTATTGAAGGGGACTTTTGGAAGCCACAGACTGCATTTGTCTAGCTGAAAAAAGGGTTAAATTAAGCTAGACCAGGCAGTTCAATGTCTTCTGCTATGAATTTTTAGAAACCTCTCTGGTGAAAATCCCAAAACATCTCTGCTTTTTTCAATCAATGTAATGAATAATGTTATTCTGGTTGGACTCTGTGTGTGTGCACAAGAAAAGCACACTCAAAGACCACCATGTAAGCTGTTGAGAAGCCACAGTACTGCTGCAGGTGTACTAATGGCAAGCAAAACCTGATTACACAAGGTTAATAAAATTATTTTAATTATTTTCTTTTACATGTGCAGGTGTTCAATCTGATACCAATTATTTAATTTCATTTCCTTTGCAGGATGCAAAGAGGAGCAATCAGAATTTGAATTTTCACAAATTCCATAGGACAGAGGCTGCTCATAAACTCATAAGCAGAGACTTCACCAGTTTCTTACAGCCAAAAAAAAAAAATTAAGGTGTTATTAGAGACTGTCCAACAGATAAAGTGTGGATATCCCAGCTGAGGGTTGCTCTCCTTCGGGATGAAAACACAGCCTGTCTTTAGCAGCTCTCAGAGGATTCACTCCCCATTGCCTCAGGGCAGAGCAACAGGGAGGGCTGGGCAGTGGGAGGCAGCATAAAATAGACATTATGTCTAAAAATATGGATGTTTGTACTATACACACACCCTGTATGGCCACTATGCTATCAGACTAAGCCTATGGACAGATTCACATTTATCCTGATGTAAGTTCTCCAGGCAATGGAAAGTTTGGGGTGTAATCAGCACTGTCAGAACAAGCAAAGAACCAGCACAAAATCACACATGAGCCACCTCTCTGATCAGTGAAAAAGGTTGTGTTCAAGTCAGACTTTAACTAATAAAACAGTTTTAAAGGAGAGTTAGTTTTGAATGAAGTCAAACTACCTGTGTAAAAATGTCATTAAGGAAAGTCAGTTCCAGACTTTAATACTTACCTCTGCATTTGAAGATGAAGTTGTCCAAAGCTGATTATACAAACCTCATTCACTGCCTTCTCATGTAGTGATGAGGTACAATTTCTGCAATGCATTTACTGTGATGGCTTTTTTTCCTTTCTTATTTGCACTGCTGGGGTACAATTTAAATCACAGCTATCAGAATCTCTGCAAGCTAGATGTCTCCAGACCATCAACTAGGCTATGAACTTTAATTTATTTTTTAATCTTAATGAATAATCGGGTAGGATTACTTTTAATTTTAATTTTGTTTTCTTAAGTGGCAGAACTGTCATCCTTCCCAAATTCAGTAACATTAGGGGTGTTCTCTCTCTCCACCACTGAAGAGACAAAGTGCCCTGTTGAAAAATCCTCCCTTTAAGCAGAGGTTCAGGAAGGATGGAAGGAGTGATGCAAATCTGCAATCTTCAGGCTTAATACCTGCAGGTCAGGATCACTGTTCAGGGTGATGGTGATGGGTATAAGAAATTGAACACCAGCTTCACTAAATGGTAACTTTTTATCCTGTGGCACTTATATTTTTCTACAGTGGTCATTAATATCTAAGGCAAATAATTATTAAGGTTATGTTTTTACTTTTCACAGGGTGAAAAAGTTTAAAGAATCTCTTTTCCTTACTAGCCCAATCTCCCACTTTCCTACTCTGAAATTGTCTGGCTCACCAACAGACAAATTCTGCTCTCCCTCCATCCACACATAGTTCCATAAAAGACAAATTGAAATAATTAAACGTTGCTTACATGTGGAAAAGGTGGCAAGACTGGACACCAACCACACAGTATGGAGAACTGGGGATCAGATTCCTCTGATAAAAGATCAAGGGCGTATTCCTACAAAGCCTGAATGAAAAGTTCAAGAAAATCAAATAAAGAATTTTTCTCAGAGAGCTACTTGCATGAACATGACAAGACCATATTCTTGTGTATTATGTGAACTTGGATACTTTCACTGACAATGATACTGTGTTTGCCTCCTGGAATTAAAAAATTACTTTATACTCTACAAAATCTTGCTGTAACTTCTCATTTTTCTTTGTAACCAAACCCACCTAATTTTCAAGAGATGTTTAATAATATGCACAAACCTAGCTCCAAGAGCCCTGAAAACCCTGGTATATTTAATCCATAAGATCTCACATGATGGACACAGACTTTATATCTTCCTGAACTCTATAGTCTTTCTTTACATTTTAATCTTGTGCAGGAACACCTCCTCCATCATCAGGCAGCTACATTACACTTTACACTTTATGGACTAATCTTTATTCACAACCCCTTTTTGTTAGAAATCTCATTTCTTCAGGAAAGCCATCAAGGAAGGAAGTTCCTCAGCATTCTGACTGCCCCTTTTATACATGTTTTACATATTTTTAACAGTGCTAGCAGACCAAGGGCACTCAGTTCCAGGGAGCTGGTGTGGGATAGCATTGTCCCTCTCCTCCATTAGCCACCCCAAACAGAACCAAGCCTTGGGGTTTAAATTTATGACAGCCACTGAGCAGCCAGTGCCAAAACAACCTATAAATGACATGTAACCTCTTCAAAGCATAAACTGTGAAAATAAAAGCCGAAAGGAATAAGTGACTTTTTAGAAAAATCATTACCTACCTAGTGATTAAGCTTTACCAGCTAGGGGTAAGTGGTGGTAGCTCCAAGGCTGATTTATTCCTCCTCAGAATCCACCCTTGGTATGTTGTGAGCTGTTAACAGCATTCATAATTTTACATTTTAAATGCCTTGGGGGTCTGGGTGGTGTTGTCTGAGCTTTACATGTGATAGGACAGTGATAGAACTGGAATAGCAAATAAAGATAAGAAAAATTAGTAAATCAGCTATGCTTAGGTTTGTTTTCCACATTCAATTAAACTCATCAACAAGTCATATGAAATCAGAAATGAATCCTTATCCAACAGGAGAACTTATGAAGTCATTAATTAGGTTAGATCTAACATGTAGAATTTAAGCAAAGAAAAGAGCATTGCAGTAAACACTTCAGGAGTATTCAAACCATAAGTCTTCACACTTTTCATGAAATCCAGCTTTATAGAATACAATTAACAACAAATTACTTTCTTATTGGATAACTAAAAGCCCTCTAGAACTGGCAGAATGAGAGCTAGGATTTATGTAAGCCTTCCTATGTTTATTAAGTTGGTGAGAAAGCAAACCCAAGAAATTTAATGCAAAGGGCCTTCAATCATGAATTTCTCATGATGACTTTATAAACGCTGAATATTCAGCACCTAGAAGTCAATTTGCTGCTTTGAATGCCAATTATTTCCAGGTCTGCCAAACTGTAGAAGCTCTTTTAGTGACAGTTTATATTTCAGGGTAAAAAACCAGTCCCTTTTGTGCATGCTAATGTGCTGGTACTGACAAAAGCAATCTGGTAATGCTGACTCTGAATTACACAAGTTCAGCAGTGAGGAACAGCATTGACAAGAGAGGTTAAAAGGAAGTACTACTCAAATAATCATTTTCACTTGAGTTGTGAATCCCAGGGAGACATTCCCATTACAGCACAACAAACCCAACACAAATATGTAGGAAACAGGGACTAGGTAAGCTTTTGAACTGGTTTTAACCAGCCCCCTCCCTAACGAGCATGCCTCAAGAAATGTGAAGAATTCTCATGCTTGGGTTGTCATCCTATGGACAGAAAGACTTCTCTGCAATTTTTTAACTATTAAAATAGAAAACATAAACCAAAAAGAGACAGAAAATGTTAATCATCTAGTGGGAAATCTGCTGCAAATGTATGTCATACAGGCTATTAAATTTTTATGCTAAGATACAAAAGCCAGATGAAACTGTTTCTATAGTTTACTCCCATAGAGGTGTTCTTGCAAATCGGATAATGAAATATTTTAAGGAGAAAGGCAATATGCTCTTGGGTGACCCTGCTTGGCAGGAAAGTTGGACCAGATGAGCCACTGTGGTCCTTTCACCCTTACCCATTCTGTAGTCCTCTGTAGGAAGTCCTGATTAATTTGGTGGAGAACCAAATTAATATATTATATATGTAAGGCAATATATAGAAAATATAAATTTTATATAAACATTTACATAAATACACACATGTCAAATTATGGTTTTTATTGTCCATGTGTTGGGTATATCTTAAGCTTAATAAGTGCCAAGGATGCAGAAGACAACAGTAAATAGTTTAATTGTTTTTGCTTTATGTAAAGCTGTCCTTTTTCTTGGGCAACTTATTGTCAAAACATGCTGAACTCTACTAGTTCTGTATTGAAGAGTTGAATAATGTTCACCAGCACTCTACTGTAAGGTCTTGCTAACACAATCAAGAGGCTGTGCAATGATTATAAAGTAATAATTCAATTTTAGATATTCTGAACATGATGCATTTAAATCTCTCTTGAAGCAGGGAGAGTCTAGAAACCATTTTTGACAATGCTTTGGATTAAATTTTCAGTCATTCCAGCGACCAAGGAAGACTGCATAAGAAGCAGCTGAGGACCTGTGTATACACATATATTATATACTGCATAAAAGATATTTTGTGAAGATGCATATTATTTTCAAACCTTGGAAACAATAGAGATCTACTGTAAGATGATGTACAAAATTAAATGCAAAGTTAAAAGCTCTGCAAACTATTTACAGTGATAACAAGAAACATGCAACAATGAAGTAGTCACCCAAGTACTTTTGAAGGAACTGCCAAGACCACTGCCCATGGAAAGCAAACTATACTCTTTATTAACTTGAGGGTCACCAAAAGAAGTATATAAAACATAATTTTATGACTTGTTTTCCCATTGAATTAACATATATAAATATTGAAAAATAAAATAGTATCAGAAGAGTAATACACTTAACCATAGTGACCAAGGGGAAAAATGTAAAAAGTATTCATTGCAAGCTGTATACCCCAGCAAGAGAATAATTGTTATCCCTGTTCAGCTTCTGCTCAGAAATAAAGATTGATTAGATGAAATTAATTTTTCCACAAATAACATTCTTTGTGGATTTTTCTGTATTATGATGATGGTAAACTACGCAGTAAGTGGTCTCCTTTAGCAGTTAAAGCTGACTAAAAGTCAGCTGCACTGACATATGTTACAAATAAGGCCCTGTTATTTTTATCTGTTGAGTGTCAAATCTAATATCGTTTAAAAAAAGGTTTCAGCTGTGATTTACAGTTTTGTTACCCAAAAGTCTAGGGACTACTCTTTCTCAACATCAGTTATGGATCCAATTTGTAGCTTGTACATATAAGACACTGAAGTTTCGTTTTGAGTGCAGAATAAAAGTCTGAAATTAAAAGTGATTTCAGTAAAATTCCTCTTCATTCATTACATTAAAGAATAAAGGCAGTATTCCACCTAGGTCCCTCAGTATACTTAACCCAGCCTTTCCAGCAGCAAAGCTTCTCAAGGAGAATGAGAAATGCTCCTTCTGTGGAGATGCTCCTCCCTTAATTTCCATCCTCTGATAGAGCCACGTCTGCCTGTGAGCCAAAGGCTTATTTTTCTAAAATATGTTTCAAAGAGCTGCAGAATGCAGTGTCAGCCAGCAGCAGTAGTGCTTGGGTGAAACCTCCAAATTCCTTGTGGGGGGCTTCATTTGGGGTACACACATAGGTGTAATGAACAAGTCTGCAGTCTTCATCTCATGAATTATGAAACACCACAGACACCATCAGCTCTATCAACACCAGTGGGCTTGCTATCTATTCTGCATTATCCCCAAAGCTGGTAGCATTTGCTATCAATAGCTGTAGGATTCATAAAGACCTGAAAAAAAAAAATAGGTCCAGCTCTGCTCAGGAGCTAGAGCCCTTCACAGGTGCAAAACCTTTGTAAATCAATTTGAAGGTACCAAGGGACCATGTAATTGAAGCTAAGGGTAATAATTCCTTGGATGAAAGAGTCCAGAGGGACAATTTTGCAAAAATAAGGCAAATACTCAAGAATTGTAACTATTACTCTATGTTAGTTATTAGACAAACAAATCCTTTTCCTGTCAATAAAGATCTAAAATGAACTCATTATTACCTATCAACAAATGAAGAGGTTCTGTTGAGATTCAAAGGCAGAAGACCTTTCAGCTTTTATACCCCAAAACTATTCCTGGCAGGTAAGGCAGGTGGAAGAACATCACTGTGAGATCAACTGTGACTTAGTCTAAGAGTCATTCAGCTTCTATCACAGCATCTGCAGTTTTCAGAAAGATTTTGGCAAAAACCCCTCATCAGAGGCTCCTAAGGAAACTAAATTTTCTATTAATACTTAATGTTCAGAAATTAATGGTGGCATACACAATCACTTGCCACAACACAGGGAAGTTGCTGCTCTTCCAGGGCATCTGGGCTGTGACCTGACAAAAAGTGATAGGGACAAATAGGGAGTTTGCAAACAAAAGATTTGCCTTGTAAAACCACAATTACACAAGCTCACTCAAGATGGTGCACTCAGTACGGGTGATTACAGCTCAGAGCCTATACTGCACTGTCAGCTGATTTTCATTGGAGTAAGGAGCTGAAATCACAGAGCAGATGAGGTTCAAAGAGCCCTCTGGAGACCAAGTCCAACATTCCTGCAGGCAGGGTCAGCTACAGCAGCTTGGTCTTAGCTTGAATTCAGCTGGGGTTTTATAACCTAAGGTTTTATAACCTAAGGAGATCTCCACAGTCTCTTGGTCACTGTTTTACCTTCCTCACAGATAAAAAAGTTCTTTAGATTTTGAGGTGGAATCCCCTGTGATCAAGCTGGTGTCCATTTCCTTTTGTCCTGTCACCAAGCACCACTTGGAAAAGTCTGGCTCCTTTTTTGCCCAACCCTCATCAGGTATTTTTAGATGGAGAGATACACAAGATTCCTTCTCCAGGCTGAAGACTCCCAGCTCTACCAGAGGCTTTGTATAATAGATGCTCCAGTCCCTCAATCACCTTTGTGGCCCTTCACTGGTTTCCCTCCTGTTCATCCACATTCCTTTCACGCTAGCTCACTCAGATCTGGACTCAGCACTCAGTGTGTGTCTGACAGTGAAGAGGAGAAGGATCAACCACCCCAGCTTGCTGACAGCACTCCTCCTCTTGCCAGGGTACTGATGGCTTTTTTTTTTCTGCAAGAGTTCACTGCTGGCTCATCCATGCAGGCATGGATTTCTAGGCATCACACGAGCAATATCTGTGATGGCTGGCCATAGTTTCTCAATTCAAAATAATTGTTCAATAACACATTCAGACTCATTTGCCAGCTTGAGACATCAAACTTTCTATATACACACTTAAAACATTGACTCATTTGGCCTGTGTGAAACTAATGGTTCATTACATCAGCAGGTTCTGAGTATACTGCATCCTCTCTGCCTTCAGAGCAAAAACCAGCAGCAGCCCGAGCATGCCAAGAGGCCATTGATCTGAGGAAATACACTAAAAGAGGCCTTTGATTAGCCCAGTACTTTGGGTTTCCATTTTAACCAAGCACAGATTGCAACCTGCAGAAAAAAAGTTGTGAAAACTGACAGTAAAACCAGTAAGCCAAAAATCAGAAAGAGAGAGAGGAAACAAAGGGGTTTTGCAGAAAACAGCAGCTGGAAGTGAAGCAGCGCCCAAAAACAAAGGCATGAAATAGAAGAAATGCTGGATGAACAAGTACAGAACAAACAATGAAGGTGTCCAGAAAACTCAGATGAATCCCCCAAGCTAATGCAAGTACAAGGTATAAAGCAAATTATCAGATGCAAGAATTGCCAAGGCAATTGTAGAGTATTTAACAGCACATTTTCTTTAAAATAAAAGAAAAAAACAAGTGAACAAATGAAAAAAATTACACAAAATAAAAGCACAAGAACAGTTTCCAATTACTTTTTCTGACTGATATAATAAAATTTGAGTGATGAAAAATGTGACATGAGGGGTGTAACGTGAGATATATTTGTTTTACACTTATGTATATTTGCAAAATGAACACATAAGACTTTTATCTTTTCTTAACAGCCCATTGTGCTGATGATTGAATCCCAGGTCCCTAACCCACTGTGGTCCTGTAACAAATGGTGACAGCAGTTAATATCTTAGCTCTGCTGGCACTGTCATTACCACTAGCATTATGTCTCCAAGGTCTTTATGCATCCCTACAATACTTATATTCCTTTATAATCTTCAAGTACAGTTTTAGACTGCATCATCTGCCAAAATCAGGTTCCTTATAGATCTCCTCATATGAGCTCTATGTATGAATGAGCCAGTTAACTCAAAGGTAAAGTGGTATCTTTTAAGGAGATTTACTGTGAGTGGAGATGCATTGCTATTTCTCACTGTCAGCCTGAAAAGAGCTTAGTGTTGGTATCAAGGATACAAATAAGATGCAAAGTGGTTTTCATTGACAGCAAAAAGCTAAACCTGTGTGGCTCACGTTAAAAATGCAAAGCACATTTTAGAGTGCACTGGGTACTTAAAATAAAAGAAAAAAGGAGAAAAATATCATTTTCCCAGGGCATGTTACACAAATTTAGTCTAGAATAATGCTACATGTCAGAGACAGCCATGCTTTTGCAGCTGAATTTTAATGCTGCCTTTTCTTTCTTCTGTCTCACCCTACCAGGGGCCATTCTCCTTTGAAAACTACTTCTCTCTTACAGATTGCTGCTGCTACCTTGTCACACCCCCTCCTGCCTCCATCTGCCACTGCCTCCTCATGGGCCATCCCTTCTCACTGACTTCAGCCTGGGGAAGAGGAAAAAAAACCCCCAAGGAGCTCTGCTTTGCATCCTACCATAATAATGCCATAGCTCTCCAGACACAAACAGGGATACGTGTACATCTAACAGATTGTCTCCAAATAAAATGAGTCAAACACAGCTCAGGATTTCTCTCTCTGCACAGATGAAGGAGGGTGAAAAAGCAAGATTTCCTTCTGGTTCTCCTGTAGATCCCAGATGCCATGGCAGGGAACAAAAAGGCTGCTGCAGTTTTCAATGGCCCTCTGTCAGAGCTGGCGCCCTGCCAGCCTGTGCCAGACACCGGCTGCTGAGCCCACCGGGATGTGGGGCTGGGCAGAAAGGCCCAAGGAAACTGAGAATGAAGAAAAGGCCTTCAGGGCTGGAGAGACAAGGAGCGAGACAGACAGCAGAGAAACAGATATTCAGGGCAGTGGGACAGGGGCAAAGTGGAGAAAGGGAAAGAAGGCAAGATCTGGAAGTACTGCTATACACTTTCTCCCAATGCAGGCTCCCCAGCCTTTCCATTCATTTCCCATATCTCACTTTTAACTCTTAAAGGGTTGTTTTACAGCAGTCATAGTGACTTCCTTTTGGGTTGCATTTTGTTGATGAAATGCCTCAAAACTTTTGCTTCCTCCAGATCCCGCTTTGCTTCTCAGTCTCTACTCTGTAGCAGCATTACAAGGGAGAAAACTTCCTCTCGTTCCCGGAAGTTTTCAGTGACTGAAAATATCATACATGGAACTATGGAGGAAAGCAGAAAAAAAAAATTACCAGCCAAACACCAACTTTGTTAGAACTGTCTTTTCTCAAAATGCAGCAAGACATCTCCTGAAGAAAACTTTCCCTCACATACTCCAATTTATATACAAAACTGCCAGCTCACTGGACTGCTGTCCAGACAGGGCTCTGAAAAAATGTTCTGAAAACACATATGTTCCCTGGAAAACACAAGAAAACTTTAAAAGAAAGCAAGTTCATAATCCTAACACACTTTTATTACACCTTCTGACAAAAACTTCAAATTATTCAGACCAGAATTTATTTGCAAGTAACTAAAAAGGCATTCAAATCCAGAGCTTCAGCATGCTATGCTCTCGCTCCCTTCTCCAAGTTTTATCCCTGCTGCTGTGGCTGCCCAGCCTGCTCCCCGCTTGCTCTCAGGGCCAAGGCTGCCCTGGAACACCGCGTACTCCCGCAGGCATCACCGTCATCTCACTGTGGGCACGGAACGCTGGGGCCATGCTCTGCACCAGGGAGGCATTTCTGGAGCAAGGCAGAGGCAGCAGCAGGCATTTTGTCACCCTGGAAAGGCAAGGCTGTCCTGCTCTGGCAGCTGCTGCCTGCAGCTATCTCCTCCCTCCCCTTTTAAGTTGCCGCAGCGTGTAACCACAGCGGCACAAATGTCCTTCCTCACGTTTCTAACCAGAACCAGAGGCAGAGCCATGCACCCTGTCCCTCCATCCCAGCTGCCCATCTCCAGCACAGAGGGGGAGCACCCTGCAGGATGGGAGCACCATGAGCAGGCAGGCTCAGTTTCCAAAGGTTTGCTTCTCAATAAATGTGCCATTTACCCGCTCCCTTTGCTGAGGCAGCAGAACATGGGACGTGCACTTCTTACAGAGGCCTCCCTTCTGAAGGAGGGTGAACAACCACTAATAAATCAAGCTGAACAAGCACCAAGACATCAGATTGTAAACTGAACCAGCTGAGCTGGGGCACCTTTTTGTACTCCTAACAAACCTCTGTACTGGAAGCAGACAAACAGACACAGAAAACTAAACTCTTACAACACAACATCAGAATCAAAACAACGCACACAAGAAAAATATAAGAATTACAGCTCAACAATCATCCTTCTCTATTCCCATTGCAAAATAGGTCCAGGATGGCTGCAGTAGAACAAGAGATAAATTGCAAGAAAAATATGAGGACACATGCTTCACCCTCAGGACTATTTTCTTATTAGCGCATAATATTTCAATTCCATTTAAGATTCTTGTTTTTATGGTACCAGATCATTTGATTAATCTGAAATTAGTCTAAAATAACTTCCTCTGAAATACTCTTCAATGTAAGGCTTTACCTCTTGATTAAACATTGTTCAGCAAAGAACTTGATAACATGGCATCATTGAGCGTGCTGTACTAGAAATCTGGCTGAAATAATTACGTTCTTTTTTTGTGATGTCATTTTCAGAAAACTTGAAAGGATCCCAAAGTGAAAAATTAAAGAGATTGTTGAGTAGGCCTGTTCTTGTCCACCAAATGCAAAATAGGACACCTGTATAGAAACCATGTTTTTCTGGCTGCAGAACCCCAGAAAACAGCTCCTTCCCATTTCCCCCATTCTGCTCACACTCCACAAGCAAGACACAGTTATTCCACAGGATCTTTCCTCTTCTCTTGTTCTGGGTGTTATGCTTTTCTCTTTGAGGAGACACCTTTGCATCAGAGCCTGGAGGAATTACCTGTTTCCTGCTGGAAGGGATGTGTTACATTTTTGCCCCAAGACCGGGCTGGCAGTGACTGAGAGAGGAGCCCATGCTGTGACCCACCGCTGGAGAACAGTGCTCATCACTCGCAGGCAGAGTAAGGACAAACAAAGGGCTGCTTGTACAGCATCTCCCATCAGCCCTCCCTCCCTCCTCTCATCCCAGCTCCAGCTCTCTCTGGGCACATCTCAAAGGATACAGCTGCCAAGAAAGTGGAAGGGAGTGAACCAGAAGATTAAGGTAGGTTTTGCTCCTGAAATTATCCTTGTCTACCTGCTCCTTCTAGTTACAGATTACAGAATTAGAAATACATATGGGAACATGCAGAAGAAGATTTGGGAGAAGCTGTTATATTGCAGGCAGGAGGTACCATTCAAGACAGTTGCATGGCTGGGATCCAGATCAAAATTATTCTTTTACTATCTTGCTTTTCTTCAAGGTTGGATACTCCATATGAACATCTGAAGTCACTACATAAACTATATTGCCTCCCAGTGCTCAATATAATATGGAGAGAGGTGTCTTCACAATGAATTGCTGTCTTAAAGAAAACTAATTGAGGTTTCATGAGAACTCAGTTTCTGGAAAGAATCATGGTATTGATGACAATTACAAAGCAGTAATTCACGGAATTCGTTCTCAGTGGAATAGCTGCTGTCCTTACAGTGCACCAACTCTTCAAGCAAAATAGATGTAACCATTTTTTTTAATGGAAAAAATTCTTCACAATATTATCAGTTATGCAGTGCATTTTTTAGTAATGCACTAATAAACCTAACTATAAAGCACTAACACCTAAATACTAAATACTCAGCATTTTACAGGTGCTTGTGAAAGGCAAACTTGACAAATAAATAAACACTAAAATACATTTCATTTTGAATAAGTGAAACAATTTTAATATACATATGCTTTTGAAGTGCAGCTTGTTAACCTAGCACACACCACTGGACAAACTGGAAAAGAACATACACCAAAAGTGTACACATTAATGTATTTCTTGTTTTCAACATTAGGCAACTAGAAATACAACCTATTCAAGGGGAAAAGAAGGATATATTTAATGAAGGATTAATATTTTTAATGGTTGATAGACCAACCTAAAAATATTTCTGTTTTCCCAACCACACAGGATCTCTAGAAGTGCCGAAATACACATTTTGTGCCATTTCTCAGTTTTCTCTCTTTCTAACCCCTGAGCTCCTACTGATACTGTGTGACCTTTAAAGAACATCACTTCCATGAACTATTACCCTGCTGTTCTTGGACAAGAAGGCTGAGACTTGGGGTTTTCTCTTCAGTCTGATAATCTCTGCATCTAGCGGATCCAAGTATTAGATGGTGCCAAATTGCCTGGCAAGATCCTGCAAACACTCAGCTGAACAAGCAGAGACAGCACTAATTCCTGACTCATCATGCATATTCCCAAACTAACCATTTTCCTTTAGGAAAAGCTCCAAAATATTTCAAAGCACTTGTATTCCCAGGTGCATTTGGTGTTAAATCTTACTTACACCACGTCAAAGTAATGTAAATAATTGAATGAAAAGAATTTTTGCAAATGCAAGGAGCTTATTTTCAGTTATATAGCTCTACTCCTGCTAGAATTTGAAATGATAAAATCTTGATAGAACAAGCTGGTCAGGCTTAGCATGCCTGGCATTGCTATCTTTTCAGAAGGCTTTATAAAATAAAGGACTGTAAGAGCATTCTTGCTGGCAATGAATGAGTCTCTGAGCCACATTAGTGATTGGATTTGTTCATTGAATTTTCCTGACTTGTTTTATGAGAAAAGCCCACCTTCTGTGCTATGCAACAGCAGACAATGCCTTTGACACTCATTTTGAAATAAACATGCACATACTAGCTCAGTTCTTCACCCAGGCAATCAGTGACACTCCAACATCTGTTCAGCAGCACTCAGGAAAAGAAGTTGCAGCAGTGTGTCAGAGAGAGATGCTGCATCTGAAAGGTCTGCATCGATCCTGTGCAGGGAGCTGATGGAACACTGCAGCTCCTTGGCAATCCTTCATCTGCTAATAGGGACTGCCCTCCCCCAGGAAAGAAATGCCTGTTTGAAGAAAGATCTTTTCACAAAAAGTTTCTGTTTGGTTATGATCTACAAAAAAAAAAAAAACAAAAAAAAACCCAGAGGAAATATTTAAGCAGAAACAAAATTATAATATTTTTTTCTGAATAATAACAATGTTTATCATTGGTAAAATGCATAACTGGTCAGAGGAGCTGTCTATCCATAGCTGTCCTGCATGTTGACTTTGCTAATACTGATTTTGGCACCCACCCATAGAAACCCTTCTGATGACACACTACAGCAATATCTTATTATTTTTATTAAATGGCAAGTAGTGAGTTACAGAATCACCTTAAAAACTGTAGGTCGTGATTTTTGAATCTTGCAGTTTGACAGAGTACAGAGAATGCACCCATTTTCAGGATGAATGCGCCTATTTTTCAGGAAGTGAATTCCTACAAATTTTGAGGAGGTAGGCAGCTGGCAACAGAGTCAAATGAGCATTTCAGTTGAACTTCAGGTAGGGAAAGATCACCTGAATTATTAGAAATTTAAAAAAAATTCACAAGAGCAAGGTATCATGAATGCCTCATCCTCAGTAGAAGAGCACAGAATAATCCCACCACAGGAAGAAAAGGTATAAACCCCCTGCTTCCTAATTTTCTCTTTTATGGAAATTTTCTTCCATTAAATACTTAAATAATTAAGGCAAACTATTTGAACAGAAGATTAAATTTTACTCCCTGACACTGGCATTTATCTAGGTATAGTATCAATAATTTTTTTCTCTTTAAGCATTAGACTTCTCTGAGCAGAACCCTCATAACTAAAGTGTTTATACTCCTACAAAATAAAACCATGAATATAATAATACAGATTCTACAGTCAAGTCTAAAAACACCAGGCAATGTTTACTTTATTTGAGTAGTAGTTTTGAGGTCTAAAACTAATAAAACAATATGTTATTCAATACTGCACTCTGAGGTAATTAAAAATAGATCCCCAAGGCTCCATAAGTAGTAGTTTATAGGAGTCTTCTACTAAGAGTTCCCATACAAGTTCATGGAAACTAAAAGGAATTATTCAATGAATTTTGCTTCTATAACAGAAGCCAAAAAAAGCCCCAGAAGAGCTTATTCTCACTTCACTCATGTTCTTTAATATATTGTCCACTTTTTAATGCTTTATTTCGCCACTGATGTTCAAAAACCCCAAGTTTAAATATAAAAAAAAAAGAACCAAAAAGCTTTGAGTTTTTGCACTTTATCCCTAATATGAATCTCAGTTTCCAGATTTTCTTACATTTTATTCATTGGCCGAAGAAATGGAAGATAAGATACCTATAGTGGCAAGAAAACTAGCTGAGAAAAATGACTAAAAATACAGTAGATTTATATATTTAAAATTTTACTGTTTGTTTTTCAAGGGTGATCTCAAGATTTTTTACAAAGTAATTCATATTATAGTCACATCAACAGCTGGCATTTTTTTCCTTATCTAGATAATACCTCTACCATCTTAACTTCACCTTTGATAGTCTTTGATTAGATAATGTCTTGCACCTTGATAATCTTTGATTAGATATTGTCTTATACCTTGTTATTTTTGGGTTAGTCCATTCTTCACCCCACAATGAAGACCGGGGCTGGCCCATAATATTGTGTCAGGGCATCAGTTCCAGAGTACCAACAAAATGAAGGACAGCAAAGTCTTCCTTAAGTCTTACACAAGAAAAATGAGTGTACAGGGAGAGTGCTGGGCAGAGCTGGTCATGCTTTATTTTAATTTTCTGAGCAGAATTCCTGTTTAAATTCAGTTAAGATAACAGGTCCATTTTGTTTGAGCATGAGGAAAGCTAAAAAACCCACTCTCCTAATACCAATAAAAATTCAGCTGAAACATTGTTCAAAAGCCTATTTTGAAAGTGAGTGCAAGTTCAAGGATCCAAAGCTTTGTGGCATGGTCAGACTGTGCAGAGCAGCACAGAGTAGCAGAGCCCACATTAAACAAAACATTGGAAAGCCTAGCGGCCAGCAGGAGAGTTTTGCAAGGGATAATTTATCCCACCTCTTAAAAAGCCAGTTAAACCACAATGACCTCCAGTAGCAAGACTCAACTAAGCAGTCTGCAGTACTAAAGAAACCCAATAAGGAAGATTCTCCCTAATGCTGTATGATACCAGAGGCCAGGACAGCAGCATGTGGCAGCACTGCAGACACTGCTTAACGCCTCAGCTTCTCACACAGCCCATGACACAGGATTCAATCAGCAAACACTTTTTCCACAACTCTGATGGGGAAGGATGCTATTTATTTTATGTGAGCGACTCTTGTTTTGACAGGCAAAGTGGCCAGGGAGGCAAGGACACACACCCAGACATTTCCCCCTGGTTTGGAAGCAATCGATACAATCACTTACATTGCCAAAAAAACACGGCCAGCTCAAAGCAATTTTCTCAAGGTGAGAGGCCAAAGAAACAACAAAATTGCCAGCATCAGAAGCCTCAATTGGCAATGAAAGGATTCCCGAGGTTGTACAGAAAGTAATGAATATCAATTCTGCTGCAATATTATTTACCTCCTAGGAGAGAACACTCTCCAGCACTCAGGCTCAAATGACGGAAACTTCACAGGAAAGAGAAACGCGAGGCAGGAAGCAAATGAGGGAAAGAGCCCTGTTCAGCAGCAATAGCGTGTCACATACCTGTTTCTCTGCAGCACCCTGCTGCGGGAAGCCTGGCCAACATGAAGATGCTCTGGGTGCTGCTGCTGGCGCTGAGCTCGGTGCCGGGTGCCCCCGCGGTGCCTGCCCAGCGCCACGCGTGCCACAAGCGGCCCCTCCGGGAGCACAGCTGCCACAGCGTCCCCGCGGGCACCGACAGCCTCCGGCACGTCCACGATGCTCTGCCACACCACTTCTGGGAAGGGAAGGGCTGCCAGGTCATCTGCTACTGCAACCTGAATGAACTGCTCTGCTGCCCCAAGTAAGATCACGCTCATTTCATGTCAACTCACATAGTCCTTCACAACTGCGCGTTATATTTCCATCATTTTTATTTCCATCAGTTTCCATACACAGAATAGGCTATCATTTTAAAGCAATTCCTCACTTCAAATTGTTTGAAATGATATCAAGATATAGCCAATTTTCGGTTACTGTCAGTTTTGAGGATTTGTTTTTCAGGGGCTCACCTAGGACTTGCTTAATATATTTTGTAAACCTCCCTGTCCTATTAACAGGGACCTCAGCATTTGAATCACCCAACTTTTGACTCCTCTGTTTGATCCAAACTAAGAATAACTACCTCAATTCTTATTCTGAGCATTTTACAATTAAGAAGTTTTCAGGACCACAAAAAAACTATATTTCTATGGAAGAGAACTGTATTGCTATTCTAAACTGCATGCATATATGGCAGTTGAACAAGTAGTTATGTAAAAATGGCTGTTAAAGCAGAAAAAACAAAAGAGGGGCACAGGGGTTCACATATACTTGTATAAGGCAAAGCAAAGACTGAGCCCAAGAACACCAACACCTCCCTGGCCTCCTTGCACTGCTGACAAAGTTGAACAGTGAAGTTCTCACTGAACTTTAGTTTTTGTTGTTGTTATATAGAAAGAACATATCTGAGTTAAAGAAACACCATCAGCCCATACTGGTTTTAGGTAATAAAATGTATTAAGAGGTATTATTTCATTCATCTCTTCAGCAACATCTTTTCTTCAGTAAAATTGGATTAGAAATATCAACAGTTCAAAACTTACTAACACTTCAGAGGCACCAAATTGTGATGGCATTATAAAGGCAAGCAAAAGTTATTTTTTTATATATGTTCCTCTTATTACTCATTTCTCAAGTCCCCTAAAATCCACTAAAGGCAACTTTTCAGCACTCCTGTAGGGGACTCAAATTGAATCCAACGGGAAAGACTTCTAAAGCTAAAAACTTCAAACTGAGAGCAGGGTTTAACTAAGATTTTCATCTTTCAGTTTCCTGAATCACATTTTGGGTCTCTAACTTCAACCCTTGAGCAGCATAGTAAAGCCTCTTCCTTTGATAAAAATATGGAAGAAAATACTCCTTCCATCACCCTGAGGTACACAGGACCTGCTTTGCATCTGTGCTTTCAGGACAAACTGTACTAAAACAGTATGTGTGCACATGTCAAAGTCCTTTATTTTGATAATATAACCTATTTGGTAAGTTTATTTCCTCAAAGTTAAAATACCAGGGTGGAGCTCTGCCACCCATTCAGCCAATGAAGGTTTGGCCATTGCCCCCACAGCAGGCTGGCAGAGGTAGAAATGCAGGATCTTCATCCAGACCTGCAGTTGCATTTGCATTGCTGGAAGGACATCCCACAAACACAGTAATCCCACATACATCATGATACATGCTAAAAAATATCCACAGTGGGAAATGCATGTCATATTAAAGCTCTAATAAACCAGTGATCTAATTGTTTAAATACGTGTTCCTGTCTTTCAGGGATATTTTCTTTGGACCAAAGATATCTTTTGTGATCCCCTGCAACAGTTAATGATTCGAGTCTGCAAGTGAAGATAACAGACATCATTCTACAATCATGTAATAATGTTTTCAAGGGTAAAACAAAACTACACCAACAAAAAAACTTCCTTTCTAATCACAAGCCATTGCCTCATTTTATACTGTAAAAAGAATTTCCTTTATATACCTTTATAGAGTATCAAATACCTAAGAAGTTTTCTTTTCAAATCTGGTAGCTGACCTAATTGCCATAAAGCCATTTCCATGGTTTAACAGACTGTACAAGCTTTTAATGTATCCTAATATTGCATACCCCAGCAAAAAACATAACTCTTCTTACTCAGCACAATATCCTTAGTTAGTCTGGACAAAGAAACTTCAAGCCTAAGCCTTCATGTTGTTAGGAATATGACTCTCAGAGCAACTTATGGCAGTGCAGCTTCCTATTCCATTACTGTCATCACACTTTTAATGCCACTTTAAGCTGAAGCCACTCAATACCTGGCACTTCTGAAGAAAAGCTCCCATGTTCTGTTTAGGCATCTTAAAACACATGCACGTACAAAAGCTCTGTATTTCCATATTTGAAAGTATTTCAGTGGAATTAAAAATAAAAGAGTAAAAATTGACATCAACAGTACTAAAGCACACTTGGGTCTTGTGTCTACCTGGTCACCTGCCTTTACTGTGCAATCTCTAAACCCTTAAATTGCTTAATCTTAGCAGTGAACATTTAAAAATATTAGAACAATAGATTTTTTTTTATTCAAGCTCTGTTTGAAATATAGTACTCCAAAGTAAGTTAAAATGCTGGCGCTTTTAGGCTAGCCCTGTAAGGCAATAGCTACAGAAAACAGAGAGATAATCATCTTAATATTTAAGAGGTATTGTGATCTATGAGATAGATACAGAGAGATAAATTTTGACCATTATATGGCAATCTGTATTGGCATGTATTGAGAGGTGACCACATAATTTTACGCAGTCACCTGAGCAAGCCAGACTTACAGGCAGCAAGCCTGACTCGCTGCTTTACACAAATAAACTCTTTAGCTATCAAGCCAGTCCCATGGAAAGTGTGCAGCACTGAAGGAACTGTGCAGTCATCTACCCAAAAAATGCACTTGCACTGCTCACCCAATACCCTTACACCTTGGCCCAAACTGCTATCACCAGCTTACCATGCTTCCTTTGTGTGTCAGTATAAAATATCACCATGACTGTTCTTCTTGTTAGTGAACAAGGGTTGGATACTGGGGAAGGGGGTGATTATACACAGCCAATAATAAAGTAAATCTGTGTGTACTATTTTTGCCCTATTGACTTTTTAACAGTTTGTCACCAGGCTTTTTAAGCCTCATTTGTGTAATTATTCAAGCAGAATAATTTGGGCTTCCTACCAAATAATCAATTGATAGTAAAATAAGCCCCATAACTCTGGCAACCCAGTGAAAATACCCAAAGTCAGTGCTCTGCAAAAAAAACAACCACCTATGGTATGTGCTCTTGTGCAAAGTCCTCTACAAGCTTCTAGGGTAGGTAAACTTCTGTTGTTTGCGCCATCTAGTTTCTACAAGAATCACGTTGTATATGCCTGGCATTCACAGCTTGGCAAACAGCTGTAGCAAAAAAAAGTTAAGGCAGATACAAGGCTGGGTACTAAAGTTGGTGGCTTTCAGTTAAAATTTCTTCCAAAACTCCTGGAAAATCCACAATCCACAACTTTGCCACTTTCCACATGCAGCAAGATAGGGTCACTTAAGTTACTACTTTAAAACTGACAAATAGAAACTTGCTTTTGTTTCTTTCCCTACTCTCCTTCCCTCACACAACTTCATCTACAGGTCCTGCCAGGCCTAGGTGAGAACATTCAACCCTGTCATGCACTCAGAACAAAACTCTTTATCTTTTGGATGTCCTATCCATGACTAGGTTCCCTGGCTTTTTATGCAATTTGCACTTTGAAGGTAAGAAGCTTGAATGTGTTCAAAGGACATTTAGCAAACAAATTGACAGTCCCTATAGTGAAATGGCCATGAAAACATACCTTCAAAGAAGCAGCAATTCTAGCTCTCACTAGCTAGATATCACTGTCCTGAACTTAGGCCAGCACTGCAGAACTGTATTGTGGAAATAGATAAAGCAGTACAAGTGAAAGAAATCATAGCATTGGGAAAGCAGCCAGTCTGAGGTTAGGGTTTATCATCATTCAGTTCTGTGCAAGCCTCACAGGTCAAAAAAAGCAAAGTGAAGCATCTTAGTTGTAGTGATGCCCACAGAGTAGTAATTTTCAAAAATACTCAAAAGATTAACATCAAGCAGATTAGATCACAGACATACTGCTTTCTTATTTTTCCCAAATTAAGGAAAAGCTTATAAACATCTGATAAGGTTGGGAGTTGCAATGAATGCTAACTGGACCAGCTGAAACCATGTCCTCCTCAGCTTTAAGATGAAAACTATTTTCCCTCAGCTGTTTATTCATCCTACATGCACAGCTTTGAGCAGAAAGAAATAATTTTCCATACACCACACATTTAGATTGACACAATAGTTGCAATACAAGAAGTCATTCATAATACCATCTTCAACATCAGAGTTTTCTAAGACAATCAATTAAAAGCCTAAGTATTGCTGGATATTATTCTCCATAAGCTACCATGAGTTCTGGGTTTATTGAGAGGGGGTTATTCCTTTTAGACAGGCCTGAGCTAATCCATGCAATGGAAAAGAAGCAGTGTGCCTGTTAGAAAAGGCAGTATTGACCCCACACAGGCTCAACTCTCATTCTCCAATTAAGTTCTTAGCAGCAGTCCATGCAGACAAATGGAGAAGTCAGCAGGTAAAGGATTTCTGACTGAGTCAAAGGATTTCTCAGCACAGCAAGCTGCAGCAGTCTCTTCATCTGTACTTACAGCTTTGAAATTCAAGAGCTGCATTTTTTCCATTTTAATATAGGAGCAGGAAGGCCTCAGTGCTTGGAAGCACGTATCTCAGCAATGACACAATGAATAAACAAATCAGAAAATCCTCCAATACTTGTTTCCAAAGGGGGAAAAAATTGTTACTCAGCCATTTCTGCCCAGCTAAGAACAGAACTGGCACTTAAAACCTTTTACCTTAGGAAAAAGAACCTATTGCCAAGTCTGCTACAGTTTTTTTTTTTAAAGGCATTGCATCATAAGCACTTGAGGCACACTTACAAATATATCCTTGGCACGTTTCAATTGAAAATATTTTAATATTATTACATAGTTCATTAAAGCTTAACTATTAGGTACAAGTATCATAGAATCACACAATATGCTGAGCTGGATGGGACCTGTCAGGATCGAGTCCAACTCATTAAAATTACAGACACACCCATTTGAGCAACAATATCAATGATATTTATTTAAAATACTTTTGCTGAGGAAATTTGTTTCATAAGAGATGGTTTTCAAACAAATCAGCAAGGTTATGAAAAATAAACCAGACAAACTCTCTCAGGAGAAAAAGTTACAAAGAAAGCTTTTGCATATCAACAAAACCTCAGTCTTTTCATTTGCAGCCTGAGTCTCAGTCCCAACCTTTTCTGCCTAATGAATCCCACTATCCATCTTTAGATCTGGTTTGTTCTTGTCATTCTTCACTGAGTAGATGAAGTATGTTAAGGTGTCCTTTTCATTCACTGGAATTGTCCTAAAGTGGCAGCCAATTATCTATAAAGGAAGAACGCAAGGAAATGAAATAATCACTCTTACATGCAAAAACTGAAGATTCATATTTAAATGTACTACATTCAAGTTTAAAAGACTGATTAAGAAGTTTACAAAAAAGGAAATTCTGCCTCTCTTCAGAAGTCTTCAGTAGTCATAAAAAGGTAAACAGGAACTATTTTACTGATAACTGTGAACTAAATGTAGGAGATTGTACCCCTAATTTCCAAAGTAAAAAGCTGAGAATTTTTTCAGGGAAGAAAAACCCTCAAAGCTATCAGAACAATCAAGGGACTACCATTACATTTGTTTAGTTAGAGCTTGAATATAACAGGTAATCACTACGGAATATCAACAGTGACAGTACAATTATGAGAGGCTACTGCTCTCCACTCAACTTGGGAGGTGGTGTCTGCATCAAATCACATACAGAAACATTTAACACAACACAAGAATTACCAGAAATTTATAACTGAACATTCAGCTCTTCAAAACAAAGCTATTAATGAAAATTCACCATGCTGTAACCATTGAAATACAACAATCTGTAAGCAGTTCTTGAATCACTTGTCATTTCATCAGTCTTTCCCTTCATCAAAATAAACAACAGCTTTAAAAGAAAGTTGCAAAATATTGTAACTGAATCTGTTCTCTGGCTCTTTGCCAGACTGGTAGATTAAAAGGATGACATGAAAAACATGGGACTGCTCACTTAAGCACCACAGGATATGTGTGGGATAAATGGATAAATGTTCAGCCTAACTAAAAAATGAAGAAACTTTCTAAACTCTACCCCAAAAGCATTCACAGAGAAGCAGTTTGACACAGTAATTTGAAGTGAACTTTCAGTAACAGCTAGAGCAGCGTCCATGGTATGTTGGGACAGATTACAAGGAATCAAATGTACTGTGTATTAAGGAAGCTCTGTGGCTATGGCTCACAAATACCTGCAGGTCAGTCAAATCAAGCACGTGGCAAGCTTTGCCCATGCACACCATGCAGCACTGGAATAACAAGTGCAAGTATCCTATGAGAGGTATCTAAAGCAGACCCTGCGAAACACTAGTTGTGCAGAACAATAACCGCCTGTGATTTTTCAATTCACAGTCCTTCTAACTCAAGAGCTAACCTAGATATAAGAAAATGGAAGACTGATTTTGCATTCTCACACTAAGTGGGAGCAGGGCTATTCCTTTACAGTTCAGCCTTAAGATCACCCACAACTTTAAGAGCCTTGTTTTTAATCCACACAGATTAAGGAGAGATGAAAACAGTGTCTGCACTTACATACAGCTGAATGTATCACTGCACAAAAGTGAAAAATCAGTAGCTATACCTTCCTGTTAAGATCACCAGCTCTTCCACTTATTTACATCAATATGCTGTGACTGCACCTTTGCAGCACTAAAGAATTCCTTTAAAATAGCACTCATGCCGAGCAAAGAAGCTAACATACAGCTGTACTGACATGCAGCTTCAGCACTTTTGGAAACAGTAAATTCCATGTAATTCCAGTTTTCTGACAGCAGATTCCAGTGGTTTTAACAGAATTAATTATCATAGAAGCATGTTTTTTCAGGCTTCTGTACTTTACACATACAGACACCTACACTGGCAGTAACTAGCTTTTTAAAGCAAAGTCTGAACCTCACCAGAACTTCACTGACAGCTCTCAGTTTCTAGTTCTTTCCAGCAGGACATTTAAGGTGAAGCTGTGATTGATGCACAGACAGAATAAATCTGTGATTCTATGACATTCAGGGGCATGAAGACCATCTTACTGCTCCAGCTCAACACTGTGTTTATAAGCAGCATTCACTCCTTTTGGAAGTTGAGAGTCCCTCCTCTGGAAAGAGCTTTAGCTTTTGATTTACTTGGCTCGGGAGCTGTGGCCAATGAAGGAAGCTAGATAAGCAGCTCTCTTTTGTTCTCCTAAAATCCAGATTATATAGGCACTTTATGCAAGGATCACAGCACATAGAAAACCACATGCCACAGCAAGTTGCATTCTCTATTATGGGAAACACTCATACATACTTCAACAAGCTGTGCTTTGTTAAGTCCCGGTCTGGTCTGTAGCTTGAAGTGTCTTTTGTACCTTCGAAGTGTGTTTACTTGTAACTGATATAAATCAACCTAGAAGAAAAGAGGGGAAGGGGAAGAAAACAGTCTAATATAACTGAAAAAAAATTCAGTCATTAACAGTTCGTCTCGCAAAAGCATTTTGGAAAATCACAGATACACAAGTGTAAACAGTCAGCTCAGCAGATGTCATTTTGACAAAAAACAAACCTTCCAGCAGAAAGGAAAATAGCCCAGCTCAGTTTAAGAGTGTTTTGTTGTTACTGAGCATGCCTCTACCTCCCTTTAGCTGTGGACATTATTTTGAACTCACTATTGTACTCGCACCCATTCTGGATTTTTTGTTTGCTTCCCAGTTCCAGCACAATAACACAAGCCCAATAGCAACTTTTATATAACATCTATAAAGATGCTGATCCAAAGGAGGATCAGCATCCATACTTTATATTCAGCCATTATATCGTTACCCTATACCGTAATTTATGCCATTAAATCTTATGTAGATTTCATACAAGACACCATGCACCATGAAAGATATCTGCACCATGAAAGAGCACATATTAGAATCAGGACAGAATACAGAAGGCACAGGCATTCTTGGCTTGAGGTGAGGAAAGAAAACAACTGCTCTTGCTCTCTAAATGTATCCCTGCTACACAAGCAATAAATATGCGGGAGTTATGTGCATGGGCATAAACGTCCAAAATTCTTTCTCAATGTCATTCAACAGTTGAGAGAATTACACAAAGTCCTCTCAGGGATACAAATACACAGCCTTAATCCAGTACTCTGTCAGTTTTGAATCCTGTGTACTCTGATCAGTCACTTCTCCCAGCAACAGCTTACCCTTCCCATCCTCCCTGACAACCTAAGAGAGCTTAATCAGATGACTGAGTGGGAGAGCAGGCTGAGTGAGAAATTCTATTGGGTCAGTTGCAATTACAGAAGTATTCTCCAAACTCACTGCATTAAAGATTGATGAAGGCATTCACCTTTGCTTTAAATTCATTTAACAGCCTCACTGCAGAACACTTAGAACAGCGGTGCTACTGCACACTTGGCAACCTGGCCAGGCCTGAAGTGAGGTCACCTTGCAAGATAAAGGATGGTATCCCTCGGTGTTTCTAAAGTTTACATGGCATTAAATTACCCTTCCCAAGCCACAGTGGGGAAGCCACCCTTGCAGCAGCTTTTCATCAAACCCCAGAAGCTACCAGTACTGCAGGAGTTTCTTTTTCCTCCTGTAGGAATCGTTTCCGACCAGTAAAGATGGTCATGGCAGAGATGGAGCAGGAGAGCCTTACAACTCTTCAGAAGAATGACACTTTTTTCCTTAGCAAACTGGGTAATAATTGAAAATAAAGGTGGTCAAGGGCAAACAAGTATCTAAGGCATACAGGAATTACAAGGAATGAACATACTGCCCTTGTCCAAACAGCCAGCTGACACTCCTCAAAAACAGTTCCCAGTTTTCTTTTTTGTAAGACTACTGTTAAGGGAAAAAAAAGCTTGTTTTCTTGTTCTGGAGATATCCATCAGTTGTGACATGTTTTATAACCCTGGCATAAGAAAACAAAACAGGCTTCCAGGAGAGCTGCAATTACAGTGTCAGAGAGCTACCTGAAGTCACTCACAGCACTAGCTTTAGACAGAACTTTCCAAGAAACAATCCCAGATATTTAACAGACAGACAACACCACCCAGCATCAAACTACTTGCAATCTCCCAAAATCCTCTTAGCCAGAGCCTCCAGACAGGAGCCTCGTGCCTAAAGGCACAGATTGCTGCACAAAGTTTCCTGCTTGCTTGCTGTTATCTGCAGATGCTGACCCTAAGGATGCCATTAAATTAACACTTACAGAGCAATTCCTGAAGAATGTTTAAACAATCCCCCTCAGAAGGGACCACGTAGGCATAACAGCCTCTGCTCAAAATTAACACACTGTGGAGCACCTGCTAAGCAACGTTGTAGCAAAAATAACCCAGAGCATGTGTAAGAAAAAGAGAGCCTTATGTTAAAGACGGACCCATTATACCATGAAAAAAGTTGGAAGCTTTAGTTCCCTTATTTTAATGGGTCAGATTTCACTGATGTGCAGTGGAGAAAACAGGTTGAAAAGACACGGTGTTTCTCTACTCCACTCCTTTACAGCACGGCTCCCCAAATGGCTCTTCCCCCCACAGCGGGGCAGAAACAAAGCTGCCATCATTAAACTCTCATCTTTAAAGTGACTAGGGCAATGGAGTAATTGCCAAGAACCATCTGCAATACATTTAGCACAAAAGGGACAGGACAGAGAAGCATTTATATCCCAAGCATTATGTGCAATTCCCTTCAGGTTGTGAGCGCCTGCAAAACATAAGAGCTCCACGGTATGTGGCAAAGCGCTAAGGAGGAGGAAGCTGAAAACAGTAGATTTCTGAGAGAACCATCAGACACTTAAAAATAGAGACTCTTGTTCATTGTACTCTGCACCATTTAATCACAAAACATTCCACAAAACTCAGTTAAATTCTATTGTATTAAAAACAATGCAAATCAAAGATCTTCCCTTTCCCATATGTAAGATAAGCTGTAAAAGTGGGAGAGTGGTGTTGGTGCAGACTCGGTGTCATTAAGAAGCTTAACACAGTAACTCGAAAAACCCCAAACAACTGTTTAGCTACCTCTGGAGTGTCGATGTCTTGCACTGGTGAATCACCATCATCATCGCTGCCTTTCCTCTTTCTTCTATTTCTCACACTCTGAATTAAATTTTTGTGGAAGTCACAAATGTACAGATGTCTTGCCTAGAAGAATAAAACGGCATCTTTCAATCAAACCCACGGAGTGTATCTCCCAGACTAGAGTGCACGAAGACAGACAACCCTGAAGCACTCACAGCCACATTAACTGGGTTGAGGAAGATTTTTTACTGGCTTCTTCTAAAGGGAGAGCGTGCTGCACTGCTGCAAAGGGCCGATGCAGCAGTGCCAGGCTGTGGAGCCACGCAGCACAGCCCGCCCTCCTTCCCTCCCTCCGGCCGCGCATCGCACCGCGGGGCCGGGCAGCACGCAAACAAAAAACAAGCGCTCCGCTTTCTCTGCAGGGCTGAGAGAGGCTCTCATTTCCCCAGCTATATCCTCCCCTCCTTGTTTTACTTCCGCTACCCGGCGTGGTCACGCAACACACTTATTTTTACTTTCTTTCTTTTTAACAAGTTTCCCTTTCGTGGGGATCTGCACGCTTTGGGAGATCTGGGCCCGTAGCAGCCCGGAATCTCCAGGTCCGCGTGTTTTGAGTGCAGAAGAGAGCACGGGGCAGCGTTGGGGACGGGCTGCACAGCGGGGCCGGGGTCTCTGGGGCACACACAGTCCCGCCGGCCGCCCCACGCTGCAGCCCGCCTTGCCCTCCCCTCCCGCGGCACCCGGCGAGGGCGGGCGCTGCCCCGGCTCCCGGGCAACCCGGCCCGCAGGAAGGCGGCCGGCCCCCGCCCTGCCGAGCCGTGCCGAGCCGAGCCGCGCAGCGCGGGGCCCGATGGCTGCCGAGCGGAAGATGGAGCGGCACGGCAGGAGACGTGCGGCGCTGCAACACGAGGCGGGGCGGCGAGCGCGGCCCTCGCCAGCAACACAGACAAACTAGCGCGCCGGAGCCATGCAGGCTGCGCTCCGCTCCGGCCGGCAGCGGCGCTTCCCGGCCACGCTCAGCCCTCTGCGGCTACAGCGGGGCACACGCAGTCGGTGCCCGGGCTCCTGGGGCTAGAGGGGACCCCAAGGGCAGGCAGGAAAGGCGGGCGCTGTCCCCCGCCCGGAGGGACTTTCAGCCAGCGCTCTTACCGCCCCAGCCAAACTCGGCTGTGCTACGGAAAAGAGCTGGGAAGGGGGAACGAACACTTCCCCGCCGCCAAACACCCCTCCTTCCCCACTAAACTTGATTAAAAGTCCCCCGGCCAACTAAGACACAGACGCAGCAACCTACCAGCCGCTTTTGTCCGCCCGCCCCGCCGGCTGCCCTGGCGCGTCCTCCCCTCGGGGACTTACGCTCTTATCCAGCTCGATCTTCACCTTCTTCTGCGAAATGCTCTTCTGGATGCGCTTGCTGAAGCTGGCGTTGCCGGCGGCGCGGCCGCATCGCTCCCCCTCCTCCCGCAGGCAGCACAGCTGCCCGGCCCCGGGGCCGCCCGCGCACCCGCCGCCCGCCGAGCCCGCGGCGGCGACGGCGGCCGGACCCAGCCCCGGCGGCGCTGGCGGCGGCGGCACCTCCACGGCGGAGCCCGCACTGCCCACCACCGGCGCGGCGGCGGGGTCTGCCCCACGCTGGGTCACCTCCTCGGGGGCGAAGCCGTTCATACCCGGCGCCACCGCCGCGGCCGGCAGGATCCCGCCCCGCACCAAACTTCCCCGGCGATGCGCCGCGGCCCGGCGGGGGGCTCCCCGCTCCCTGCCTGCCTCGCTTCAGCGGCAGCACCGGAGCGCAAGCCTGCCCTGGAGGGCGGTCAGCCCACGCGTCGTGGAAAGGACTCTCCCCGCCAGCAGCGGCCGGCCGAGCCCCGCGACTACCGGAGCGGCAGCGGCAGAGGCAGAGCCCCGCGGGCCGCCCCACTTCCTCCTTCCCCCCCTGTCATGTGGAGACTCTTCAGCTGTTTCCTATGTAACAACAGCAACCTGCCGCCCCGCCCCGCCGCGCATGCCGGCTGCCGCGCGCGGCCCCACGGGAAGCGCAGTCCCTGCCCGGGGCACCGCGCGGCGGCGGGAGCGTGGCTCGGGCACCGCCCGGGGGCAGGATGCGCTGCGGCAGCCGCTGCTTTACCCGCGCCGCGCTCCGCTCCTCTCCCTCCCAGTCTGGAGGCTGGGCCCGCTGCAAAGCTCCGTGCGTCAAGCTCTCTTTCCCCCCCTTCCCGCGCCTCCGCCGCGGGATGTGAATATGGAAGGGCGGCCCCGGAGGGTGTCGCGGGTCGGAGCTGCCGCCGGCACGGCCGAGAGCGTCCCCGCGCTCCTAGAGAAGCGACGTGGGGCCGGCGGCCTCCGCCGCCTCCTGCCGGGTCTCGCGGCGCCTCGCTGTGCCGCGGCGGCTGCCCCTGTTCACTTGTTCTCGCTCTAGTGTTTTAGCCGCAGCCGGCACTGCTCGGACTGCTCGTTCCGGACCGTCTGTCTCCTGCCTTCCCTCTCGGCTCTTCCTTCCCTGCCTCCTTGCTTTCCCGCTGACTGTCGGCCATGGCCGGCAGCGGCTCCCGCTGCCCGAGAGGACGGGCGGGCTCTGTGCTGGGCTCCTGCCGCCCCGCTGCGGGACGCATCTCCGCGGGAGCCGCAGCGCAGCCGCCGGCTCTGCGTCTCTCGGAGGAAAACAAACGGAGCTCCGGCCTTTGTTAGAGCCGATTTTACAACACGCGTAGTCAGGGCTCCGTCCTGTGTTCCTGTGCAAAACCCTCTGAAGACAAAGGCGACTTAGAGTGAGAGTTTCCAGTTTTGTCATTTAAAAGGAGTTTTTGTTGGTAAAGGTGACTGTAACAACTGAAAACCCTTGAGAATGCAGAATTATTTTTGCTAATGATGAACCAAGCAAGACCTTGCTGTGCACACGACAAGGTAAAATAGACGCTCTGAGAATACTTGACAAAAGCAGGTATTTTTAGTTTTGAGGCTTTACAAAGCTACATAAGAGATGCCTTGGCATTAAATCATTTAACAATTCAGCTGTTGACAGCAGAGTGGCAAAAGCAGCAAGCTCTGATCTGCTGTCCTTTCAAGCACATTCAAAGGAGGCACAAGGAAGGGAGAGGTTTTGCTTTCCCTTTGAACTACCGCAAATATTCCTTTAAATCTCAGAAGCGGCATCTGAGCTGAGCGTGCTCGAAGCGCAATGATATAATCGCTGAAATATTTGACCGTATCGCTTGCTGTGCATTTCCAACTTGAAGAAGGAGAGAAGTAGCAGGGAGGCTGGTGAATAATTCAAGGAGACGCAGATCCTGCGTAAGCCAGAGTTCTGCCTGAGCCGGGAACACGATTATAGAGCAGTTTCAGTTTGTGCTGCAGATGGCTCCTTAATCTGATTGCGTAACCTGGTATTAGAGAATAAGGGTCGGTCCCACTGCCGCAGCTGAATGAAGGATACAGTAACTGAAGCTGCGCTGAGCTAAAGTCACAGCAGCTGTCCACGGGGCACGTTTCAGTGATTAGCAAAGGGAATTGGAGGAGAGTTGGAAAAAATACTGAGTTCTGCTTTGTTATCAGCCAAGTTGAAGACTGTATAATACCTAGGTTATTTCCACGCTCTGCTGCTGAGCAATCTCAGGCAGCAAAAGTTTAACTGACGTTTTGAGTTTCTTGTGATTTCAAACTTTTGAAAACTGTAATAATGTTAAGATAAAAAAGAACAAAACCCCCAATAACAATCATAGTAGACGTTAAAATCTGGGAAAAGTGGGACAAGGGTGAGTTCCAGGAATTCTTCAGTGGAAATCTGGGTCATGAATAGCAATTTCTAGACTCTTGGACTATGTCTTTTGAGGTACTTTTGGTTTTTGGTTTTGTTTGGGTGTTTTTTTTTTTTTTTTAGATGGATTTGACCTTACTCTGAGCATAAAATATGTCCATCTGGGCTTGGCTGCTGTTGTTTGGTTTGATGGAAAGATCACTTGTGCAATTTAAATGTTTCTGATCCTCTTTGTACAGTTTGGGAGCAGTTAAAAGCCTGATTATGTTACCCAGCCGTGCTTGCCAAGATGCTAATTTATAAGCGTAATTTCAAGTAAAGTAGTATCATAGTTTCATGATTAGGTCACAATAAGAGAGTCGTGGGACTTAGAAAGATGGTTCTGTTTCTGCTGTAAGCTGCTCATTTTCACACCTGTGCCCCATGCCTCTTTGTGCCCATAAAAACATTGCTGTGGCTGCACAGCAAACTCTGTTGGGTTACAACTAGGCTAGCAGCAAGGAAAATCGTTTGGACTTTCCTGCTCGGTTGCAGGATGCCCCAGCACTCAGGATGGTGCAGTAGGAGGGCAGGACTGTGTGACCACCTCATTTAGTATGAATGCCTGCATACAGTTACAAAGAAATCATGTTACTTTTAATCTTGCATCACATGTGGGATGAAAAATACGAAGAGCTGCAGCTACGTGGGTTTATCACAGTATGAAGCTTACTTACTACAAAATGGATTTGCAAACTTTCATGAAGCTTGGGCTACATGAAATAAAAACAAACATCATTGTGGAGTATATTGTCTAAAATTACAATTTTTAAACATAAACTGTAGTACTGGGTACCATAAGTATTCAGATATCAATAAAGCATGTATGGGGACATATTTTAAATTAACACAAAAACATGCAGCATTGCAAACATATACTGATTAAACTTCAAAAATTAAATCAGTTCAAAGGAAATAGGAGCTCCAAACCAACTACCCTGTACATGACATGTCACTAGTACTCCCAGCAGAGCTGAGTAGTACAGAAGGCAGCAGTAATCTGTATCCCTTGGGGGTGCCAAGAACACAGCATGGATGACTTGTAAGTGACATGCAGAAAGAGCAGGAGCTACAGCATCCCAAAAAGTCTGCATTCACAACTCCAAGGCTCTGAAGTCAGCGGGACTCAGTGGCCCCTCCTGGCACTGAGGCAGGCCAGGCACAGGTGGGAGCCCAGCAGCTTGTTCTTCTCTGAGATGCCATATGTCCCAGCCCCTGTTAGCTTTTGATTGATGGGTTTTGTAATTTGAGAGAGGAGAATGATAATCAGATACATCACCTTGGATATATTGCAAGCACATTGCAAACGCATTGCTGGTGACCACTCCTGGAAGATAAATGTGCCTCTTGCAACTTTGTATGCATTTCCATGGCAAAAAGTTCAGCTGGGGAGGATGGTTCCTTCCCCAGCAGGTACCATTCACTTGAAGTCCAAGGGTATGTTCATGCACCTGTGTTCAGCACCTGAAATTATCCTGTTAGCAAAAGGAATAATAAGGAAAACTATTGGTAGACATTTTTCTCAGCAAATAAACATTTTATTTTGTATGTATTATAACTATTTCAGTGAAAAAAGATTCCTTGAAAACACTTGAAAATTTCTGCAAATTCCATCACACACCCTGGTTATTTTAATAAAAAAGCAACCTACTTGATAAGCAAGCATTCATAGGCTGTGATAAAGAACATTGACCAAATCTCTTCTTCCTTACCATCTTTTTTATTTTTCCTTTTCTTTTTTTCCTTTTTTTTTTAAATATCTTATTTTCTTTTCCCACTCCACCACCACCTAACCTGCTACTGCCTCTTGCTCTGCTTCTAATTTATTGCCCGAATTTGTTAAAGCATATACCCAAAGCATAGGAATATTGGAACTTGCCTACAGACTATTTTTTTTTTTTTTTACTTCTTTACATATTTTAGGCTGGGATAAAGTATAATTTCAGATAATTAATTGTATAAAAAAACATAATCTTTATTAGTATACATAGACCTTATTGTATATGGTTCAAGAAGTACAGTAATAGAAAAAAGAATCATAACTTTAACCAGAATTATCTCCACGTCTGAATCCAGCTGAAGCCAGTCTTTCTTTTATAGGCATTTGGCCTTGTACAATGGAAACTCAAGATGTATGAAAGAGTATCTATAACAAAAGCTTTTATTTAAAGATTTAAAGCAGTAAAGAAGGTCCAAAACTACACATTTTGTTTTAAGAATAATTTAGGATTAAAACTATTAAACCCATGTACTGTAAAAGCTTTAAAGTTTTGTAATACACTCCCCTTAATGGTTTGTGCAAATTCTCTTTCATAATAAGCTATTAGTTACAGGAAGCATGGGAGGATCTTCTGGTAGAAGGCATCGTTCTTATGTGCAAAAATAATGTTATGTTCTTTGTTAAATGTACTTGACAAATTGTTTGTTAGTGGACTTAAACAATGAAGGATGTGTTAGGAGAGGAAGTTCAAGTACAATGACCACACAGAAGCAAAGGAGCCAACCTCCAGCTTTGCCTTAGGTACCCCTCAGTTTCAACACCCCTCCTCCTTCTCAGAAGCCTCCACTCAACCAAAGCACCTCTATCTGCTTATTTCACAGTCACTCATCTCCTGTTCATCCAGGTTGCTTTGATTAACATTTTGCTTCATATTATATGAGATTGCACAGTTAGAGATTCCATTAAATCATCACTCATGCTCTTCAGAAATATAAAGCAGCTATCTGAAACATATTGTGGAAAAGTATCACCCCCAGAGGTTTTGTGTAATGCAATAAAAATTTAACTACTGGTAATAGACCAATGTAGATTAGGGCTTAAAAATTATTCTTCAATCCTTTGAAATGAAATAAAAAACTTGCTCAGATTTTCTTCCATGTAAAATAAACTGTCATATCTTTTCAGTAAATTTTGCTGGTCTCTAATGCACTCTTGATACCACAAAAAGCACTGCACATACTGTACTCTGTGCTACAGTCTTGCATTTTGTGAGCTACTGTTTTCCTGTTATAGGAATTCAGATTTGACAATGGCTTGGACCTCTTGCTCTGTGTAACACATACTACACTATCTTCAGATTTCATGTTTTGTCAGAGGATCCTAGAGTCTACAGGGCTCTGTTACACCATCATATCCTCTTCTGATACATATTCATTTTACAGAAAGGAAAACAGGAAAGTTCTGCAGCTTTAAGAGCCTCTTTGAGTGCCCTTGTCTTTGCAGTACAGTTATAACCATCTCTAGGTCTGACTTAGCTCTAGTTGAATTTAAAAGCTGGTTTTAAGTGCCTCTTGGGAGCAGGTGAACACTTCTTCCATCAAACCATCAGTCAGATACTTGGATTCCCTCAGTAAAAACAACATAGTCTGGTACTAATGCAGACACTTTCATAAAAATAAATTAGTAAAATTACAAGTGCGTTTGAGGTTTAAATGCTTTCCTGACCTCCTGCAGAGTTCCTTCTGGATAAAAGATACAGATAAGATTATATTCCAACAAACTCAACCTCCCCTGTTACTGTAAAGTTCTTTAGCAGTATAGAGTAGGGTATGCAAGGGGGTGCTAAGGAAATGATACATTTATATCATCAGGTGCTGGAATATCCCATGGGAACCATGACTAAAAATGAGTCTGATGATTCAATCAACAATTTCAAAACTTCATGAGTGTTTTCTTTCTAGTCTCAGATCACCTATGTATCCTGTGGTCAGTTCTAGGACACATATCACAGCACTAGTTGCCAGAGGTAACAGAACAAATTATTCTCCCAACAACATCTACATTAACAATAATGCATGAGACCAACACTTGAGACCCATTGAAGTTTAATGAGACCCATTGAAATGAATTTAAGCTTTTCCACTATCTGGATGCAAGACTAAGACCAGTATGTTGATGAATATCACAGTGCTGACAAGGTGCTTGGTTGTTACCAGCCAAACCTACTTATCTCTGCTGGCTCCTTCCTCTTGCAGCCCATGACACACAGCCTTGTCAGCTCCCACTATTCTCTTCCCCAGAAGAGTTTAGAGCTGCAGTGACATAGCGAACACATCCTACTGGCAGGTTCAGCCTCAGTTCAAGTTTCTAGCCCACATGACCACAGAAGGAAACAGTTCCTTAGATTGGACAAAGGAACAAACAAAGCATTCTGATTAGTCAATATTTGTAAGTCACCGTGGGTTGACAGGGACTCATTCTGGCAGCAGCAAGCTCCAGCAGCTACTGTCAAACACGACAGTTCAGAAGCTGGACTGTGACTACAACCTCTTTGCATCTCCTCACTGGATGTCATACCTTCAGGGCCAGATGCAGTCCAACCCTTTGTCTTATAGCTTAGGAGAAAAAAAAGTTCTCAAACTATGCTCTCCAACTCACAAAAGACAGAACAATTTTATTGGCAATTAAATCTCATTTCTTAAGAGTAAGTTGTGTATATGTTTCAGGCAAAGTACCAATGTTACCAACACTGGAAGAGTTTGGAGGTGGGGAGAGAAGAATAGAAAGTTTTTTTACCCATTTAAACCACATTCTTGCTGCAAATAAGGGCTATCCACATTTTAGAGCCCCTCTAAGCTGCCTGGGAAACTATCCACTATATAAAGACAAATTGCTGCTTTCTTCTCACACCTGTAAAAAGAGATTAGCAGTATAGCAAAACAAAGAAACTTTTAGATATCTTGAGGGGAAAATGTTGCATGAGTATTACTTTGAATGTAAACAAGAAAGTGAGAGAAAGCCAGGTGAACAGAAAAGCAAAAACATGTTTTAAAAATTTAAAAGCTTGTAAACTCAATGCAAAAAAAAAAAAGTTACTGACAAATTAAGACTGAAAAAGTTCAGGTAACAATTATTGTGATCAGGAATTGCTATTGTTCCTGATATTATCTGTGTTAGTACCAGAAACATTTGCTGTGTTTATTTCTTAACATCTGACTGCTGCAGTTTGAGCCTTTCTGCAGCTGTCCCGGTAGAGTCTCCTGCAGGCTGCCTTTGTTTGAGGTACTGGGTACACAGCACAAAGTCAAAACAAGCTCTGAGCTTTCAGACTAACCCAGCCTGGTGTAACTAACACAGCTGCATTTGCCTGTGAGCTGCTTAACTGGTTATGCAGGCTTTACAGTGGCTCACAGTAAAACCCTAATGTTTAAAGGGTAAATATATTTCATTTTTAAAACATACATATTATTTACACGTTCTACAACACAAAAAAAAAACCAACAAAAACCACCAACCTGGGGAATTTCTAACACACTGTCTTAAATGTAATTCTTTAAGACAGATACTGACAGAAATACCAGTTTTGTAAACTTTTAGGCAGCAGCAGTTATATGTGTCCTTATCAAAGTACAAGAAAATAACTCCTTATAACTGGTACACTACAACAAAATAAGTTTTGTGTTGAACTTAGATAAGCAGTAGCTTAAATTGTTTTGATTTTTGCTTTTCATCCTAAAGGTCCCACCACATATCTAGTGAGAGATGCTCACAAATAATAAGCCTAAAACATTGTTGCTGTCTGTAGACTTTGTAACTCACATTAAAAGGGTTTTCAAAGCAGTGACCTACTTAAATGTTTTTTGTGTCTTGAATTTTAATTTTTTTTTCTGCAACAAAGAAACCTGCTGATTAAAGCTAAATTTGCTTTCTTTCAACATCTTCCATTCCTATTAGTGATGTTTGGTTTGATTAAGCAGTTTTACCTCGCATTCATTATTCATCCACTGATTTTTCAGGCCCGGAAAAAGAAATTGCCTATCAGTTTAGAGTGATAGCCTTCCAAAGCAGAATTTTACTGCTTAATTTTAGGCCACATTAAGGCATATTCCATACAGGAATTTGGATAGTAGGAGATTTTCTGGGAAGTGACAGCAGGCCTTCCTTGTCCAACTCACTGAATTAAAACTGACAGCATCACTACATAAATACACCAGAATGCAAGTTTGGTCAGGGCTAAGGTCACACAACTGTAGTTTGCAATCTCCTCAGCTGAACAGTATCTGTTGTAATGGAGCTGCTGATGATTTAATTCAAATAAAAGGCCTTTGTTCCTTTCTTCCCTTGCTTTGTCCACACTGACACCACTGTCCAGAAAAGCTCTAGAAGCAGCCCACAGAAGCCAAGAGATACAGTATGACGGAAAGCAGCATCACTCCAATCACACATTTTTTTTGCCAATAACATACTTTTCTTTAAGTCCATTTCTCAGCTCCGTAACCCAGTCTCACCCATCTGGTGTTTTGTCTGCCTTCTATCCAGCATTTCTAGCCTCACTGCTTATCTCTCTCTCTTGCAGTTTACTGAAGATTAGGCCAAGATAACAATAGCATCCCAAATTGTGGGGCAGATTAGAGACTCAGAAGGGCTCAAAGCCAGGGAGCTATAAAACCAGAGTCATTCCATGAGCAGAATTATTCACACTGAAGTAACTCCAAGTCCCGGAGTTTATGCTTCTTCCCCACAACTGTCATGCACATGTGGTTAATAAATTAACCACGCGTACCGACCAAAGTCAATACTGCATAGATCACTGCTTTACAAGAGCAACAGTGACTGAATCCCTGGAGACACAGATTGTGTTTTTGTCTGAAAAGGAACAGTGTGGAACAATGACAAACAGTGACAGCTTATTGTGGAAGCAGAGAAGTGCTTTTCCAGGCACGAGGGCGCTGGGAGGAAGGCACAGCTTTGGGAATGACAAGCTCCTAACATCAGCATTCTTGTGTGGTGGGGCTTTCAGCATTGGCACTGCTGTGGGAAGCTTCCAGTATCATGTTCAAGCATGGAAAATTCTCAATACTGCCTTCCTTGTTGGAGGACAGACAGATGTTACTTTGGTTTCTCACGTGCCCTGAGTTGTATGAGACAGCATGATGTAACACACTGTGGGTCTAGCAAAGTGTTCAAAAGCTTTCTTTTCCAGGTAAGAAAATGTAAAGATCCTAATTTCTTACTTAAAACATTTGATTAAATCATTTGAAAGGCAGATCTCATTTTTTCCCATAGCAATAATTACACTTTCTCACTCCACCTGCTTTTCCACAATAATTTTCTTCATATTCTTAGAGCAGGTATAAAAACAGATGCAACAGTGGAAGCCTTACTGCAATTACATCACAAAATTTCCAAAGAGTGTTCCAAAGTTTTTTTTTTTTTTCATGAACGTGCTATATTCATGTTAAAAGAGTGAAAATGTTAATAAAACTTACCTAAAACTTTTTTCCCCCCCACCTGCCCTCCAATAACTGCCAGAGAGGTCTAGGTCAGTCTGGCATACAAGGAATGCTTCTACACCACAGATACCAATGGCTGTACTACGATTCACTCACCAGTATTGTAAAATTCAAATTCTACCATCTTCTACAAAATTACTTTATTAAAAAGAACACACTTCACAAGTAGCTTTTATACAGAGGTAGTTCACCACAAAGTAAATGGGTGACCCATCTGACAGCTTAATTAATGAAATACAATAGTGCTTTCCATGTAAAATATGAAGTAAAAGGATTTTTAAAGCCACATGACAAAACAACTCTCTGCAAAGTGGACAGACAGACCTACATAGGTAGGTCTATCTATGTCCATAGAACTCAGAACATTAATTTGCTACAGAGAAGCAGTGGAATACAGCAGTAACAAGCCCAAACCAGAACATGAAACATTCTCCATGTAAATGTTTATTTTAGGAGGTAAGGAAGGCTAAGCTTTATTTGTGTGCTAAACACTATCAAAAGTGCTAAAAGTGTGCTAAACACTATCACATTAAGTGAACTGATACAAGGTTTTGAATAACTGGCTTGTGAAGGCTTTGACATCTGCAGAAGGAATGCATAATCTGTGGGTTGCTCTGCTAATTTACCTGCCAATTACCCTCTTCTGTAGTGGATTTTGGCTTTTAGGGCTGCAGTTTGGGCAAACAACAAAGCTTAAAATGAAAAAGGGATAAAGGAGGTATTTACTACCAAATTAGTGAACTGTTGCACGTGAACCTATACTTGTCAGAAGAAAAGGAAGAAAAGCTTGAAGAACTGCACCTAATAAGTTCTTTTACTGAGCAACTCTGAACTGGGGAGACTGGAGATCAAGACATTGGCCACAGTCACACCTGCAGCTACTCAATACTCTCACATAGCTAAGGGATTTGTTTTTTCTTACCATCGAGGAAGGTTAACATGATGAAAGTTCTACTGAGGGCACCACATCTTCAGTAAACAAAGTAATAACCTGCTTCTCACTAGGGCTATAAACTACACCTGAAAAAACAAGAGTGTTAAAAACCACTTAGATTACTAAGAATATTTACCCAAAGTTGAAAACTGGATGAAAATAATCAGACAGAAGTAAACCAAAGTCAGCAAAACCAGTATAATGTAGTCTGGGGTGACATGGCAGTGTAAGAGACTGTATGGAAACTTCAATTCTCTGCCCAAACCCAAAGGGCCAGATTTGCTACTAGCGGTACACTTGAAAGCACTGATGCAAACCACGGGCGTGGCTTGCAGTAAGACCTCAGTTCGACCGAGACTGGGTCCCCAGCTTTCCACTGCTGCAGCTTGCGCTTCGCAGAGAGCGCCAGGCTCGGAGAGCCGACACCTTCCCTTCCCGGCCTGAGTGAGAACGCAGCGCTCACAGGCAGCCCCAGGCTCTTCCAGGCCCCTCTAGCTGGGGAGAGGGGAGCAGGAGCTCTCTCTGCCAGGCATCGCTACAAACCGCGCACTCTCCTTCCGCGGGGGAACCCGCACTGGAGCCGGCAGCGGGCCCCACCGCAGCCCCTACCCCGCGGCGGGACGGGCCGGGCCGGGCCGGGCCGCTTGGAGGATCCCCAGAAACGGGGCTCGCCTGGGCACCGAACCCAACTTTCAGCCCAGTTTTACAGCCAGCCGTTCCTGCCCGCCAGACCCCCGCCCCATGGAGGGAAGGATGGGGGCAGAGGGCGGCGCTGGTGCCCCGGCCGGCCCGAGACGGGCAGGCCGCGCTGAGGGGCAGAGCTGAGGGAGCCGCCGCCAGCCCCGCTCCCTTTGTATTTTTGAACCACGCTGCTGCCCCCCCGCGCTCCGCCCAATCAGATCGGCCGCAGCCCCCGCCGGCCAATGGCAGCGGCCCCCGCGGTTTTTTAAACCGTCCCTCTCCCCCAATCGCCGCCCAGCGCGCTCCGCCCAGCCCCGCCCCCCCGCTCTCCTCGCCCCAACCGGTTCCAACGGGTATAAGCGCCAACGACCCCCTCGCGCTCGACCTAGACCGGGAGTAGCTCGGCAGCTGACGTCGGAGCGGCAGGCAGCCAATCCCGTCCAGTCTCCGCGCCAAGGGGCGGAACTTCGGGCAGTTTGAACGTGCGCAGCAGCCAATGGGCTGTGGCGGGGGGCGGGCTCTCAGGCGCCGCGGGTCGGGTTGCTGTGGCGGGCAGTGCCGCGGAAAACAACAGGCGGTAAGAGCGCGGCCGGGCACCATTCGGCAGCAGCACCTGAGGGAGCAGCGCCCGCGCCGCCCGCTCCGCCCAGCCAGGCAAGGCCCGCGCCCGCGGGGCGGCAGCGCTCCGGTGGGACGGAGGGAGCGCGGGGGGGGGAGCGGACACCAGCGGCGGTCCCGGGCGCGGACACAGCGAGGGGCTCCCGCGGCTGGCGGGCGGCACGCCCGGGGCTGAGGGGAGGATTCCTGGCGGGCGGGTGGGGCCGGGAGGGCGGCGGCGGCTCCGGCCCCGGCGGGGCGGGCTGGGGCGCGGGCGGCGGGACCAGGCGGGCTGCCCGCCGCAGCCGCCGCGGGGGGCGGGGAGAGGCGGGCGCGGAGGGGGGGGCGCGGGCAGAGGGGCCGCGGCGGGGGCGGGGCCGGGCGCGCTGGGCGGGAAGGCGGCGGCGGGCGGGAGGCGGGAGCGGCCTGAGGCGCGGCCCCGCCTCACGCCGCCTCCCCACACACCGCCGCCCGCAGGGACCCGCGCCGACCTCGCCATGGGCAAAGGCGACCCCAATAAGCCGCGGGGCAAGATGTCCTCGTACGCCTACTTCGTGCAGACGTGCCGCGAGGAGCACAAGAAGAAGCACCCGGACTCGTCCGTCAACTTCGCAGAGTTCTCGCGGAAGTGCTCGGAGCGGTGGAAGGTGAGCGGGGCCGGGCCGAGCCGAGCCGTGCTGAGCCCTTGGCGGGCCAGCCCCCGCCCCTGCTGCGGGCTGCTGGGAAAAGATCCCTGGGAGCAGCTGCTGCTTAGGCGTTAGTGGGTCAGTAGCTGCTTTATCTCATCCAGCCTCTTCTTTCCCCTCCGTGTGCCCACAGACAATGTCAAGCAAGGAAAAAGGAAAGTTTGAAGAAATGGCTAAAGGAGACAAAGCTCGCTATGACAGGGAGATGAAAAACTATGTTCCTCCCAAAGGCGAGAAGAAGGGAAAGAAAAAGGACCCCAACGCTCCTAAAAGACCGCCGTGAGTGTTTCTATGGCTCCCTTCCCCCACAGAAAAAAAGTGTTCCAATAGCTTGATACTTAACTTCAATCACTGTCTCTCGATGTAGATCTGCATTCTTCCTTTTCTGTTCTGAGCACCGTCCGAAAATCAAAAATGAGCATCCTGGCTTGTCCATTGGAGATACAGCAAAGAAATTAGGTGAAATGTGGTCTGAACAGTCGGCCAAAGATAAACTGCCATACGAACAGAAGGCTGCAAAACTAAAGGAGAAGTATGAAAAGGTACAGTAAAAGTAATACAACAAAGTTAAAGTTGTGGAGCTCACTCTAAATATATGACTTGTGTCTTGCACCCACACCATAAGGGGCTTATAATCCTTAATGCTGTCTGTCAGCCTTTAGAAGACACGGAAAGGTTGGCAGGGCAGGTATCTGGAACCCTTACAGTGAGCCTGGATGTGGGTTTGCATGTCTAGAGATTTTACCAGCAAAATGCCTTACTACCAGAAAGCAGGTCACCTGCTTGCTAAAATAAATGTAGTCAGACTCCAAAGCACCATGGTCATAAAAGTCTTAAAACTGTCTGCATTGCATGTTCTTTTGCTTAGATTTAAGCATGAAAGTCCCAAGGTGGAAATTCTGCTGTTTTGCATGCACTGTATCTGACCTGTGCAGTACAGTAGCATTGAAATACCTAAGCAGTGCAGATTTGTCTGCAGTGTTCTAGTGCTAGTAACTTAAAAGCATTTTTCTTGCAGGACATTGCAGCATATCGTGCCAAGAGCAAGAGTGATGCAGGAAAGAAGGGCCCAGGTAGGCCTGCAGGATCTAAGAAGAAAGCAGAACCAGAGGAGGAGGAAGAGGAAGAGGAGGAGGAGGAGGAAGAAGAGGAGGAAGACGATGAGGATGAAGAATAAATGAATGTCCTGCTGTAAAGATTTATGCTCTGGATCCAACATTTTGCTAAGAATGTGAACTCAAGTGCAGCTCATTGTTAGCTTCAGTATAAAAATCTGTACAGAATTGTGTATAGGTCATGTGGTTCTTTGTAGGGAGACTTCAATTTATAATGTAAGCAGTAGCCAAGGGCTGCTACAGTTCGGTTTGGAAAAACAAAAGTTGTTGAATGTTTCTGCTGTTTCTGCATATTTAATGGTTTTCTTGAAATTCAGTGACTGATAGCCAGATGTTTCTTTATAGCTAAGTAAAGCAAAGGTAGCTTAATAGCTGATCTTATATTTTGTAGTATTTTGTTGCATTGTATTACTTTTTTAACAGTTTTGTAATAAAATGTTGTACATTATTCTCTTTGTGTTCATGATGTTTCCGAGAGGCTGGGCACCCCCAGAATGCTGGAATCCTCTGTGGGAACATGCAGTGTTCCTGGGCTCTTGCTGTTACTGCAGAACTGGCAAATCCCTTAGGCATTGACTCCTGGAGCTTTTGCTGCCACTTAAACTCCTTTAACTGATTTCCTCTCCCACTGCCATTCCTTAAAACTGATGCTTTCCTTACAGTAGCCTTTGCCTGTGTTACCTTGTGGTGGAAAAAAAAATCTCCCAAGTAGTGAAGTTCTGGATAATTACTCCTGGATTGTCTTTCCCCAGGCTGCTGAAGCACAGGCCTTTGTTTTGCCTTAGTAGCTGATAATGAGTGAATGTTTGGGACTTTCTCTTCCAGAGCTCAGGGTCGCTGGCCTTGGCTGTAAGACAGATGTGGTTAGAGGCATGTCTTCCCAGATGTTGCTACTCCTTCCCTCTCCCCCTGGCTCTAGTATTACTGGCTTCTCATAAAACACACAGCCTGCAGAACTGCATGAAAAATGTTGGAATGTCTACCCCCAGTGGATTCCTGCAGAAAGAGAAGGCATTTGTAAAGAACAAGTGCTCCTGATGCGTTCCTGTTCGTGGTTGTAACAGTGTCACCAGTTATACTATTCCTTGGCTCTCACTTTTTATTTTACTTCAATATTTATAAAGGCTTAAATCTAGGTACCTGACAATATTCTCAACTGGGGAATTTGAGATCCTGCAGCTAAACTAAATAGCTCAAGTTTAATTTGTTGAGCTAAATACCAGGAAATAACTTTTATTAGCCCTTGAAAAGCCCAGCCCTGAAATGTGTAATGTCTAAAAAATTAAGTAATATAAAGGGCAAGCTTCCAAGATTTTGTTTAAAATATGTCCCTATTGCCCATTAGCTTGTGAAGTAAGTTTGTGTCCCATCATTGTACTTTGTGTAAGACAAAAAGTGTTTTCAGGACTTTACTATGGTAAATGTCACTGAATAGGTCAAAGATAACAGCACTTTCTGAAACAAGAGGCTTGAGAAAAACAGTATATTCTTGTAAGCATAGAAATTAAGTAACTGCAAAGGCAATTCAAATCTTTTTATACTGGAGTAGGTGTTAATCTTTGAGAGCCTTAGAACCCCAGAGTTTCTTTGTCCTCCCTACTATGCCCCTGAGATATTTAAGTGCCATCAGAAGGATTAGCTGCTGTTTTACATGTTGGACCTGCCAGAGATAACTTGGCACAGGTGAGATCAATAGCTCCATTTTTCAGGCTCAGATTTCCTGAAGCCACAGGCATAAACCAGAAGTGGGAGGCAGAACAGCACCTCCAGCGCTCAAGAACATTTTTTGCTGTAGAATTTGCAGTCCTACAGCACCTGTATTCTTAACTCAAAAATTCTATCTAGAGGCAATTCCCTGTCACAGTGTGTATCCAAGAGCATGCTGATCTTGTTACCACATCTGTTCAGACTTCCCACATCCTCTCACTTCCAACATTCTCTCCCTGGGCAGAACAGTGATGCTTCATGGAATCTTTCTGATAAGATTATTTAAATTTTCTGCAGTGGAGGGGTAAAGTCAGACTAATTTGATTTTTTGAAATGTTTCGGGTTTTTTTAAAATAAACAAAATATAACCCTTCAGGTGTCCTTACAACTTACACACCAAAAACTCTGCACCGGGCTGATCTATCAACTGAGAATGTTGTAATGACTAAAGATAATTGACATAAAAAAAAAAAAAAGATATTTTGTCCTTTTTGCAAGAAGGATGTTCAATATAAGGCAAATGGAAAAGAGTACATGAAAATTACTGCTTTCAAATTAAGCTTCAAAAAGTATGATGTGTCAGGTCAGGGAGTTCATGTAATGCCCATCTGTGAGCACTTGCTGAAAGGAATAATAAGTAATCAAAGTGTAAGGGGAATGTTCAGTAAAGATAAGGCCATAGAAGAAAAGCTAAATTAGTTTTTCACATCACTGCTCAATACGGACAAACTTATGAAATAACTCACTGGAGGTGAACTGGGAGGTCTAAAACCAAAGCCAAAAGGGATGCCCAAAATGGTTTGCAGGCACTGGGAAGAGCTCTCACATTGCACTAGACATTCAGCATAAAGATCCCACACAGTAAAGCAGACCAAAAGTCCATGAAAAATCAGTCTGAGGTGGATAAAGAGGAAGAATGAGAGAATAACAAATGTAGGAAAGCAGTTTTAGAAAGTTCAAGTTATTTCCAAATCAGAAAGCCAAAAAATACCCCGCACATCAACAGGCCAGACACAGCAACATGTGGCAAAGCACAAAAAGAGCATCAGAGCAACATGAGAAAACAGACTAACAACTTTCAAACACGTGTGTTGTGTCTGAGCTCCAACCAGCAACCAAGCCCCACACAGCCACCCGCTCCCCAAATGGTGGGATGGGGGAGAGAATTGGAATGGTATAAGTAAACTCATGCCTTGAGATAGAAGCAGCTTCATAATTGAAATAAAATAATAATAAATGAATAAGTTATACTAAAAAGGAAAATAACAAAAAGATTTAAAAATGCAGATGAAGTGATGCAAATGAAAAGCAAGCAAATAATGCCCAGCCAGTTTCCAAAGAGTGTCCTTCAGCCCAGTTATATGCTGACTGTCATGGCATTGAATATCTGTTTGGGCAGTGGTGGGGGTCACCTGTCCCAGCTGTGTCCCCTTCCAGCTCCTTGTGCACCCCCGGCCTCCTGCCTGCCAGGGCAGCATGAGAAGCTGAGAAGTCCTTGGCTAAGTGTAAATAAACAC